CCGTTTCAGAGGGCTGCAGAAAGACTACCGAACTGACAGAGTGTTTGGGGCGGAAGTTCCTTGTTGGTTTGTGCACAACAGTGGGAAAGGCTTCATCGATGGACATTACAAGGATTACTTTGTGCCTCAGCTCTACAGCTTTCTCCAATGGCCTTAAAAGTTGACAGTTTGGGAAATTATATATACATTTTCCCCCCTGCCACTTTTGGAGTCATTCTTGAGTTTGAATCATCAAAAAGTAACCAGATACTGTGCTGGCTTATAAAACCTGTTAACATGTCTGAAGAAAATAAATACTTTTGCAAAGAAGTTTCAGGATTCTGCTGTGTTTTCAGATGCTAGGGTGTTAGTCAAGTTCGCGCAGAGGAAAGCTGCTTTGGCCAGTCAAGCTGCCATCCAGACGGAGTCCTAGGTTTGGCATTTACTGTGATGACTTCACTGTTGCTGAGTGTCAGGCCCTCAGCTTTGCAACTGAATACATTTTTAGGTTGTCAGGTACATGGGACGTTCAATTATAAAAAGACTATGTGGTGACCTTGGAATAAGAACAGGGGAAGTCACTTGATCTTAATTGTTTTGCAGCTGTATATATAAAGCCCTGCCACCTTCCAAGGGACAGCCTTGCCAAGGTACCTGTGAAGGCCCATTTTGCTTAGCCAAGATTCTCTCCTTTGTGCCGGCCTCAAGAGGCCTGCATTAGTCAGGGTTCTCCAGAGAAACAGAACCAGCAGGGTAGCTATATCATTATACAGACACACATATACATGCATATATACACATACCTACACGTACAGCTGATCCTTGAACAACATGGAGCTTAGGGATGCCAAACCCCTGCACGGGTCTAAAATCCACAAAATTTTAACTGCCTCAAGAACAAAGGAATTGATAAATGACTCACCCAAGGGCAGACAGAATCAGGACTCAAACCCCAGTTCTGTTGATTCCACATATTATGATCTTCAATCACACACAAACTTTAACACATTTAGTAAAGATCTGTAACATGAAAATACAGGGAGTCTGTTTGTTTAAAAAAAAATCCACATATAAGTAGATTACACAGTTCAAATCCACGTTGTTCAAGGGTCCACTGTACATACATGAAAATCTCTGTGATAAGGAATTGGCTCACGTGACAGTGAAGGCTGGTGCAGGTCTGATTCATTATCAGTCTCTGCTTTCCTATGTTTATAACTTTCCTTTAAAAAGCTATTCCTGGAGAGAGGATATAGCTCAGTGGTAGAGGGAGTGCTTAGAATGCACAAGGTCCTGGGTTCAATCCCCAGGATCTCTATTAAAAATAAATAAATAAACCTACCCCCCCAATTTAAAAATAAATTTTAAAAATAAATAAAAATCTATTCCTAAAATGTATGTTCAAAGGCCAAAGTGATAAACTTGCCCTTTAAGAAAAAAATTTAAGGTACATTTTAATGAAGCTTTCTCTCCACAATTTGGTAAAAACCATTTTTCATTTTAGAAAGTAAACAAAACTACCCTTTTTTTGGACATAGCCCAACAAATAGCTGAGAAAGCTCGAGTTCGCGCAGAGGAAAGCTGCTTTGGCCAGTCAAGCTGCCATTCAGACGGAGTTCTAGGTTTTGGCATTTGACATAATTGTAAAAATACGAAATATATGTGATTACTTGTAATCTAAAGATAACCTCAGTGCTGAAGAGGTAAACAGCATTGTCTTTTAGTTTCATTCTTCTATAAAAATTGGGCACCTATGATTCAAAAAATAATTCTGTATCTTTTCCATTCCTTTTCAAAAATACTGATCTTAAAAAGTCATAGTCAACACAAACTTCAAAAGTGGGTTCTTATAATTGTTACTTCATAAAAATTTTGACTTTAAAACTGCTACCTTTAGCTACATAAGTTCTTTTCTTGCATTTTATATGTGCTCAGTAGTTTGAAAAATAAAGATGAAAATCTTACGGCAGAATTTTGAGCAAGAATCCTATCAAGAGAAGCCAGATTTAAAATCAAATCCATGTTATTCAAGTATCAGAGCTGTTATTAATAGTTGGTGTTTTAAAATTCATTGCCTGCAAAAATAATCTTGTTAACACTGTTTACATGTCCCTCTTGAAACCAGAAAAATGCCTTCTCTGTATAATTAAGTTTGAATTGTAAGTGATAATCAATTTTGAATTTCAAATAAAGAAACCAAATTAGTGGGAATTATTGGAAAGGAGGGAACTATTCCACTGTCTACCTCTTGATTAGTTTCTGAAAGTGTTATGTTGTTCTCA